TGGAAAATACTATGATGGTTAACCATCAAGAGAAGTTTGACTCTTATGGACCAACAATCCATGATGGTTCCAACTATACATTTCCATGATGGTTCAAGGGGAATTGTTGATTCTCAGGAATAAACCATCAAAACAATTTTTTTTAATTTTTATGTTGGATCATCATATTTCAGTCCGAATTTCTACATTGTAGAGATGGGGTCTCATGATCATTCTAACATTTGATTTCTAATATACTATGAGGGAAATTCATGATGGCTCATAATGGTGCAACAATGCATTTCCACGATGGCTTAATAATAATTATTGTTGGTTCTGCAGGAATATACCATCAAAACAATTTAGCTTTTTTTTATGTTGGCCTATCGCAAATCAGTCAGAATTCCTACAATGGAGTAATGGTGGCTCATAATCGTTCCGACATTTGATTTCTAAGAAACTATGAGGAAATTTCCGATGGTTCAACAGGAACAAACCATCAAAACAAGTTGCTATTCCTATGATGGACCATCATAAATCAGCCCGAATTCCTACATTGAGGTTATGGTTACTTGTGTTGGTCACAATCAAAAATATAATGCTTCATGATGGAATTATTGATGGCTGCCATCAAGATTATGTTGGTCCATCAATGGAAAACCATCAAAAATTTTGGTTTGGGTTGACGTGCAACAGTCTATAGAGCTACAGAGGAAGAAAAATTGACAATTTTTCAAGTCCCCATCAAAATGCTAGCATTAAAAATACAAAGTTTGTATGTTTATAGCGAATTAAAAATAACTCGTTATATATTATATATAACATATTTATTATATAAATATATTATATATGATATATTTATGCCGTATAAGTTAGAAATACTATGCGGAAAAGGGTTAAATGATAGGCATTTTTATTTTTTTTCTGGTATTAATGTAGAAAAGTGCAAAACATATATCATTTAACTTAATTCCTGGTGGGTGATCATGAGTTAAATTATCTTCCTCCTCCCAAAAGGAAACTTTTGAAATGTTTTTGAAAAACATTCCGCGCGCTTCACAACATTACGCATTTTTATTGATCAAATATCTACCATACCCTCTTTTTTCCGCTTTTTGACCACTTGACAGTTTACTATTGAATTCAACATTTAGCGCTTCCAATAGCGTCATAAGCTATTGTACTTACTGTTTTTTTAGTTATTTATTCTACTATTTTAAAATTAAATATGTGTATTTGCTTATAAAGACAAGCTATCTATAAAGGCAATTTCATTGATTATTGTGTATTGTCCTTTTAGCGAACTCTTACTGCACATCTTTTAACTTAGAAATGCTCTGTTTCAGGTCACAGTTGCTAATGAAAATGTTCGTATACATGAAAGGGTCAAAGAGAGATTTTTAAATTATACAAACTGTGTATAAAATTAAAAACTGATTAAAATTTTAAAAATATTAAGATTAAAAAACTAAACAATTAAACTTATTGCAAGCTCTTTTGCTTAAAATATAAGGTTAACTTTTTTTTCCTTATTTACTTCTAAAGGAGATGAACCTTGGCAAATTATTTCGTTTTGGCTCCTACCAAATTAAATTTGCAATTGACTTTCTAAATTATATCAAATATGTTTTTCCGCTAGTGAAGGCTCCCTTCCTCTCAATATGTAAACTAGGTTTTTAATTTTGCGTAATTTACGCCTCTATAAGCACATTTTTGATTCGGAAGAAACTTTTTCATCAATCAAAAATGAATTATTATTAAGTTTTATATAAATTTTAGTAGTAAATATGAACAGATTCCGAAATTAAGTTGTAGCAAATATTAGTACTTTCTTATTCTTTCCATTTATCTCTTAGCGAATATAATAGTTACTAATTGTACTTTTCTTCGTTTAATTTTCAGTAAAAAACTGATGATTACTGTTTACTGACAATATTTTTCAAAACAAATGAAAAATAATATCGAAATAGTCGATATATTATTTAAACAATTAATTTATTCTAATATGCATGAGCAGTGAAAAAGGTGAAACATTTCCCTTAAAAGCATATACTCGTGCTTAGTAATCCGTGAAAGATTCTTTTGTGTTTTATGTACTGAAACAGAACAGTTTGAATACAGAAGGGAAATATAATGTTGATCAAATTTTAGAACTTTTCGGCCCTGGGGGAAAAAAAAGCATTTGCCAAAAAATGCCAGAATATGGTCAAATTTATCGTGTTGTGGCTCTATGGGAAGACCAGAAAGCACGGTATATTTTACCGAGGCACTTGGATAATGATTTTGGTAAAATTAACAATGAAATATGATTTTATAATTTGTGATAAAATTTGGTAAATGTGGTTACTTTATCATGATACCTAAGAGCATGGCAGAAAAACATCGTTTCGGTTAAATTTACTTTTCAGTTTTGTATTTGTTACTAAACGTGGGGTTATAAGATTTATAATTCCTTCCTGTAAGCTGTTTCCACGTGAACAGAAAAATTATCAGAATGAATTAAATGAATGGTTTCAATATCGTACATTTTGGTTTTATTAACCAAAATTAGGAGTTTTCTTTTACCAGATATGTAATTATCATACAGTACTATAATTTTACCAGAAATTTTTTCTCCATGTAGCCTTAACTGTAATTTGTCCGACTGAGACTTCGTTTTTGTTTTTTTCTCGATTAAATAATAATTTACGACCCGCAAAGGAATGAGTCATCAAATGAAGTCGTTATAAATCTACATAAAGCAAGACATGACATTCTTGACGAAGAAAATTTCCATGAAAAATATTAAGAAATCGAATTCTTAGTATTAGTGTTTGAAGGAACTGGTCTAATAAACCTCATATTTAAGGAAAGTCTTATCTTAACTTTATCGTGACTTAACTTTATAGTAACTTAACTTTAACTTTATTTAACTTTATTTAACTTTATCGTTAACTTAAACTTTAAAAACATTCTCACAAATAAATAAGTTCCATGATATCGTGCAAATTCGTTAACTTAATAATGAGTTAAATTAAACCCTACTTCTCTTTAGCACGCCATAATATCGGGCAATTCTCATTTTTAAGATGATATGGATATAATATATCTATAATAAAGATTCAACTAAACACTTTACTGAGGTTCTACAAATTTGTACCAAATTATACACAAGGCACTCCGAAATTTTGAATAGAACACGAAGAAAAAAATCTGGTAAAATTACCCTACTCTGTGGTAATGGCATTTCTGTTTTTCATTTATTTTTAAAAAAAACAAGAACTTAATTTTGGTTAATAAAACCATAATATACGGTATTTAAACCATTCATTTGGTATATTTTCTATTCATATGGCAAAGGTTTTCCAAAAATTCTGGTTTCCGAAATTATAACTCGCATTACCACCACACATTCAGTAAAAAATAAAAAACTGAAAAGTAAATAAAATGCACAAATGGTATTATGCCTTGCTCTAAGGTATCATGATTAAATTCCCAAATTTCACCATATTTGCCAAACTTTATCGCATATTATAAAACCATATTTTGTTTTAACGAAATCATCACTAAAGCACTTCGGTAAAAATTATCAGCCTTTTTGGCGTTCTCATAGAGCCAGAAACACGGTTAATACTACCGTATTCTGGTAGTTTTGACCGTTCTTTTTTTCTCAGTTTAGCTGCAAAAAACATTCATTTATATATCTTTTTAAACATTTTGGTGAAATCTACAGAAATTAAATTTTAATAAAATATGATCAGAGGACCTTAAATGTGAGTTTTCTTGGAAAACATATAAAAACAAAATCCATACTTTTTAAAAGATTTTTCGTATTTTTGAAAATGACTTTTGTATGACTTTTGAAATTTTTAAAAGGATTTTAAAGAAGTTGATTTCCACAAAATTTTTTTAGATAAATAAACTTTAAAGTTTCCACCGTGTTTTCCAAGAAAAAAAAACACAAAGTTAAAAAGGTAGATCTGAATTTAATTTTTTCGACATGGAAGAGTGTATTGTGTACTTAAAATGAATATTCTTCAGGAATAATTTCGGTATCAGTGTTCTGTATTCAGTTAAAGCAGTGGTTTCTGAACTTTTCCAATCAGTGCTACTCTCTATAAATATCATCCGTTTCCTTAAAGTGTTGAATATGCAATAAGAATTAAAGCTTTATGGAGCTTTTATGAGGAAGTCGTGACCCCCAGGGCATAACTAGTTCGGAAACCTCTGAATAAAATAAAATTACATAACCCTGCACTGTAAAAATTTCCGGATCTAATTACTGCATTAAGTACCGGCACTTCGAGTGCATCATCTGTGAAAAACATTTTACCGTAAAATCCATTTTTACTGTAAAATATTATGCCTTAATTTTTATACTATTATTTTTTAGAATGATTTTACCGTAATTATTGCTGTAAAAATTACGATATATCAGAATTTTTTATTGTGTAACATTTTCTGGTAAAAATGGATTTTACGGTAAAAAATACTGGGCACCTAAGAGCCGGTACTTTTTACCGTAATTTGATCCGGAATTTTTACAATGTGTAAAAAAGAACTTGCGTTTAATAGGTTATGTAAATAAACAGTTGTGATTAATCTTTTTGATGATAAGTGATTATTTTTACCTAATGAACATGAAAAAAAAATCCGTTCAAGTCTTGTACTTTTTTGTAATGAATTTTTTTAGGCGATATATATAATATAAAGAATATTGAAGCTAAAAAAAAGTTCATAAAAAATATATTACGCTTTTCAAATTGCCGAAAATATTATATTTTTTTAAAAATGAGGGAAATTTCAATGGATATATCAAATTATAAAAACACAAAAATTTGCTCTGAGATGATTCTAAAAATAATTAAATAATTAACTATTTAAAATAAAAAATTAATGATACTACATTTCATAACATAATTAATTTTATGTTCCAATGTTTTTTAAATAAATAATTTTTTAAAACTCATTAATTTATATTGATAAAAACTATCACGGTATAGTAAAGAAAAATAAAATAAAACATCATTTCATTTACTTACCGGTAATAATGGTCAGTAAAACATTATAATCCAACTTTATCAAACAGATTAAGTAATTCACTTTTATTTTCCATTAAACACGAACATCCCATATTCTATCACCAATTCATTACCTTTCAATACATCAACGCGCTTTGCTTCAGTGAAAATTCAAGAGTCTCTCAGTTTCGCGCCACAGAGAAGAGCAAAAAAATATTTTGTGACGATCAATTTCTCTATTACTTGATTTTCATCGTTGTTGTCACTCTCTCCGGAACTCTTGTCGCCAAAACTTACGCCAAATTTTCCCGCTTTTGGGATTCACAACAACAAGATAAATGAAGTTCCACTTTGTAAAGAGTACTTTCATTTCAGATTTATAGCTCTATTAAATAGAGAACGGCGCACGAATATGCTTAGATCGTTGTAGCGAGGTGAGATAAAAAGGATTAATTGGAAAGCTGTTATTTTTAAATAGGGAATAAATAAAGTTATCCTTTATATTAGCTTTAAAGTTCTCCTGTGTGTTCCAATGGGTATTACGATTAAAAAATGTTAGTAGACTGCAAGAATATTTAATAGCTAACTAAACCATTTCTGAATATTTTCGTGTTAAAAACTATAACAAAAAGAGATTGCAGATCTTTTCAAATAATGGAAAAGTGGCAAAGGAGAAAATAGATAATTGGAAATTAAAATTAGCTTTGATGGTAATGGCCTGTTGTTAATCAATTTGTAAAATGGCACAAGTTAAAATAAAGAAGTTCAAAAGAACAAAATCCTTATTAACAATTTTTTTTTAGTCGTATTAAGAATTTAGTTACATTGATTCCTTATAGGAAAATGACAACAGCAAACAGAAGCTAATAATTGCTTACAAAATAATTGCTTACAAAATTGTTACTTACAAAACATACGTAATCCCAGAATAAAAGAAATATTTGTAACTCTTGCAAAATATACAAACACTAAGAAAAAAAGTTGGTTCAAAACTAACAGCATGTGGTAAAATTTACGGTGCTACTGGCTCTTTGGGGACACCAAATGATCTTAATCTGAAATATAGTTACCTGATCAATAGTTGTTTACAAAACATGCGCAATCACAGAATAAAAAAAATTATTTATAACACTTGCAATAAATACAAACACTAAGAAAAAATGTCGGGTCAAAACTACCAGCATATGGTAAAATTTACCGTGCTACTGACTCTATGGGAACACCAAATGACTCTGTAATTTTTATCTAACCGCTTTGTAATTGTTTTGGATAAATTTCCCACAAAATATAATGTAATAAAATAAAATTTAATAAATGTGGCAAAATATGGTAAGTTTATCATAATTTCTTAGAGCATGGCATAAAAACCATTTTTTCGGTTACATTTAATTTCAGTTTTGTATTTTTTACTAAATAAGTGGTAGCAAACACTGTAACTTTGAAAGCAAGAATTTCCGGTAAATCATTAGCATATGAACGGTAAAATTACCAAATGAATGGTTTAAATACCATATATTTTAATTTTAATAACCAGAATTATATTTTGTTGTTTTTTTTTTACCAAAAATGTCATTACCATACAGTACGGTAATTTTAACCAGACTTTTTTCCTCCGTGATTATAACGTAGAGAGGTCAACTTCCGATAGTTTTCCTAACTATGTGACTATGACTGTATTTTGTAAATTTAAAAGGATAACTATCTCATCGTGTATATAAACTTGGTTATAAATAATGCGAATAACAAAAGGTTCTATTTATAAATGGGGCAATTAACCTACTACAGACTTAGCAAAATAAACTTAAAATATCATGATTATTTAAAAATACGAAACTTCATATTATATTTTAAAAATAAATTGATTTCTTTAAATCTCATTTCCCGAACTACTTACTTTGTTTCTTGTGGTAAACAAAAGACATTCAATTGGCAGTAAAATAATTGTCAAAGCAAGTGTAATTTTTTTGATTTACCAACTCCTTAAATTTAAATAATTATCGCCTAGATTTCAGAGTTGGAATTCAGTTTCTAAATTATTGTTGTGATCAGAAACTTTCCCTAATAAATTTTTAAAAGTAATTAACACATTTTTTATACGAAATTCGCTATCATTTTAATTATTTTGGCAGTTCACTGGGAGAACCCCGGATTTAGATTTTTCGAGCTCCTCTTCTTATTGCTATCTATAACGCATTAAAATAGCTTTCTGATTATTATCTTTTATGACAAAGATATGTTTTTGATTATCTTTGAGTCATTTAATCTAACTAAAAAACATCGGAATATGAAAAGAGGAAGGGGCTAGTGTGAATAATTTTGATAAATTTATCAAATATCTGACGTAAGTTTTAGTTTTGAACGTCCATTTTAATTTTGAATCCTTTAGTCTTGAAGAATGTAATACTTCCTATTAATTAAAACAGTGAATAAAAATAGTCTAAAGTATAATTTCTATCTCAAGCAAATTAAGAAATTTCTTTTCCTCTATAAAAACCTTGCCTTATAATTTACTACGTAACAACTGAGTGCGTTTTCATACAATTGCATATGAAAAGGTTAAAGATCTTTGTGAATTTGCCGAAATATTAGAGATACAGAATTGATTAATAAATAACAGAGTTATTCCAACTGTCTACTTTACTACTATACACTGTTAGAGTTTTTATTCTAAAATTACGGTAAAAAAACCTGCAGCAGCTTGTCCATCCAATGAACCGTTAAGTTTAAGGTAAAACTTTAAACTTTAAAACTTTAGCGGCAGTCAAGCTTTAGCTCCCATTATTCGAAATGAACTTCAGCTTTTATTTGCCTTGACGTAGGGGACATAAACATTCTGTACTCAGCAGTGCACTACAGATGCACTTGATATTTTGCACCACGTGGCGATGCATCGAATTTCTTTCCCCATTTCGTAACTAAATGTAATTTTATATATCGATTATGTCAATATTAAATAATTTCTTTTAAATGTTAATTGGTGTTAATTATTTATTTTCATTAATTGTTAAAATTATAATTAATTCCAAACCGTTTACAACTAGTAGGGTTAAAAAACCATGAATACAAAACTATACGGTTTTTTAACCAATTACAACTAGCATAGTTTTAAAACCGTAAATAAATGTAACTGGATACTGGAGCTAAGCTTTTTGTCAGGTAATAGGCATTGGAGTTAGGTTGTGGTTGAGTTGTGTTTTATCAAATGACCCATAGAATGTGGTTTAAGTAGTTTATCTGGTTGTTTCACCTATCGTAATATATGGGAAATACTATAATTATTTGTGTCAAGCAAACTTTATGGTGCTGCCATCTATGCGTGAATAAGAATATCGTATTCCAATAGTCTAGGGTCACCGATTGAAGAGTGCAGGGTACTAGAAACTCTTCATGTATTGAAGGAATGGAAGAAATATTGTGGTGTCAGCGCTGGGATTCAAACTAGGGTCATCAGATTGACCGATTAGCCTTCTCAGATATACCAAAACATGCACTGAACAAAATGTCTTCATAAAGTGGCCCTAGTTGGTGCGGATAGAATTCTGGTTGATAAACCGTATTAAGTAAAAACAATCAATGGACGTTTTTTCTCACTAACTTTATGGTTGTTGACTGCTATTTGATTGATTGGGTTGAATATGGTAAAACAACAATGAAATAAATTGCTATTTAACCATTTTTACCGCGAAATGTTTAACAGTGCATTAGCGAAGGATATTTTAATTTTAATTGTCTTCATATGTTTTTATTTGGAATAGAAAGTTGTCATGTTCTTAAGTTAAGTAAGTATAAATTATGTACCGAATAAGTATAATTTTTTTATACTTTTTCATCCATAATATTAAAATAAGAATGCTTAGTGCAATTTCAATTATATAGCTCTAAAGTTTAAGTTCAGTACCTTTTTGAAAGTAATTGAAAAGTAGAGTCTTTGAAAACTTAATTATCGAAATTCCATAAATTTATATTGCAAAATATAATTCAATCAGTCATATCAGTTTATCAATATTAGATTATTATTTTCTTAATGATTTGAAATTTTGCAGAATTCTATGCATCAATAATTCCAGGAAGAGCTTTAACTTTTTTGTCATAAAATGGATTTGATTTCCATAGTAATAGCTGAAACAAACAAATTTATTTATTCTATTTCAGTTTTAGTAACAAACCTGAGTTCAAAATTGATTTTCACTTAACTGAGTTGTCACGTAAAGTTGACTGAGAGCAAAAAATTTAAAGCTCCAAAGGTTGAACTCAACGGATAATATTAGATACACGCAATATTACATAACTGTCAAGATAGAAAATATCAGTCTGCCAGACATTTACTGGAAGAGCGAGAAAGCGAGCTTTGAAATTTAATTATTTTAAACTTTAAATAAATAATGTTGCATAAATAACTGGGTAAAAGTCATATATACATACGAGGGTAATTCTTTAAGTAAGAACCGTTTTGTAATGGAGTTAGTGAAACTTTATACTTGAACGTATAAATGGTATCTATCACAAGCTAAATTATGTACATTTATTCGTTTTTCAACATAGTCACAATTAACATTTAAACATTTGTTAAGTCGTGGCACCAGCTTTTTGATCCCATCATCAAAGAGCTCTGCCACCAGACTGTTAAACCAGTTAAAAATAGTTTCTTTCAACATGCCCCAGCGCTTTTCCACCAAGAAATTCCTTAATTTTTTAAGACAGATGAAAGTCTATTGGTGCTAAGTCAGGGCAGTATGGTGCATGATCCAGTACGCCTCGTTCGTGACAATAGGCCATCCAGATCATTCACAATCGGTGGTATTACTGATTGTCATGGTGACAATTTTACAACTAATACCAGCAGAGACGAGAAACGAAATGTTAGCGAATTGGGTGACTTGACAAGAGTTACGAACCTTGAACTGACGTCATTTGACAGGATGCGCAGACAAGATGCCAATCGGCTCTTACTTTAGAAATGACCTTCGTACAAACATTCAAACAAACTTTAACCGACTTACATGTTTACTATTATTAATAACTGGTGATTAATAATATTTATCGATTTATTACAATGAATGTAACATCTAAGCAATATGATTTCAGAACACGTTAAAATCAGTTCAACTCTGCGATACAGAAAAGTAAAACTTCAGAAAGGGCTTGGGAAGAAATTACATATTTAGATAAAATTTCTTTTGCTGTTACATCATAAAATTAGGTATCTAAATTTTATTTTATAATGTCTTGCGTAAATAAATTCTAAATAACT